ACAGACTCAAGGAGTTCCATCTATTTCTCTTAACAGAGAGAAAATTAAGGGGTGACTTGATCATAGTTTATAAATACCGATGTAGAGAACAAATATTTGATTATGGACTCTTCAAACTAGTAGCCAACTTTTTAACAAAGTCCAATGGCTGGAAAGGTAAGCTAGACAAATTCAGACTGGAAATAAGATATACATTTTTAACAATGTGGATAATTAACTACTGGACCAGTTTACCAAGGGTTGTGGGAGATCCTCCATCACAGGCAATTTTAAATTAAAATTGGACTTTAAAAAATATGTGCTCTAGACATTATTTTGGGGGCATTCTATGGCCTTTGGTTTAGAGGAGGTTAGATCGGATGACTACAGCTGTGGCCTTAGAAACTACGGATCTATGACTATGAAACTATAAGCACATCTTCAAATAAAGTAGTCACACATCTGCATTTAAATAACACTGTAAACTGTTTGAGTGTTCATTCGAAATAACTATGTAGTTTGACTATTCTTTTCCAAAGTAAGCCACGCTATTGGTCACTACACTTCCATTTTTTTAAAAACTGACTTTAAACATTTTTTAAAAAATAAAGACCACCAACATTGCTTTCACAGTCCGAACTTATCCCTTAGTCTGTGACAGTTCCATAGTAACCCCTTTTTTTGAAAACTTGGGAAATAAAAAACTCCCCGTAACTATGTATTCCAGGTGCCAATTTTGGAGCAAATTCCTATAGCCAAATTATAAATGGTTGACACTGGAGGTTCTTGATGGAAAGGAAGTGCAACAATCACAAACATGGAAAGATGATCTGCATCTCTCTAGAGCTATTGAGTGACACTCTGAATACATAATGCCTAGGAGTGTTTTGACATTCGTCTTCATGAGTGAGAAAATTATCCCATTCCTGAGTGTCATAGCCATAAGGGTGTTATCTGATGTCTCCATACGAGTGAAGATAAATGGCATATTTGACTGAACGGGGCTTGAGTGTATGTGCACGGGATGGGGGTGGGTGCAGGGGTTGGGTCTGAGTTTTATTTACAATAAGGGTCTTTACACCATCTCAATGTAAATGAGAAGTAGGCCCAAACAGGCTTGAGAATTATAGTTATAATAAATGTCTATTATATACACATTCTGCTTAAGATTCCATCTTGATTATAGTATAGTTGACAACTTTTAACATTTGGTTATGTTATGCAGGAATATTTTTGAAAGAATATTGTTCTGATATTTCTTTTGTGTGACAGCCAGTTCAATGCATTCTGTCAGACTTATTATCCTTGTGTGAAAGTAGTTTTAAGTCAGGGGTGGGTAACCTTAGGCCCTGGGGTCGCTTGCCTGGATCCGGCCCCCGAGGCTCAGGGCTCCCTAGCAGCACTAGGGAGACTGTGCTGGCACTCCAGGTCCCCCCCTCCACACACACACATTTTCCCACTGCGGGGCTGAAGCACATGTAATCTATTAGGCTGGACCCTCATAGGCTCTGGTGTGCAAAGGGAATGTGGGGTGTGCCCTTCTCTTTCTCAGTTGGGGACCATGACAGTGAGGTGTTTTTTTGTTTGTTTTTTTGCTTCTCACTTGTGTACGGCCCCCAACTGATTTTTCTGTGGGTCAGTGGCCACCAACACAAAAAACGTTCCCTACCCTGCTTTAAGTGGCAGCATTGAGGAATGCAACATGATTTCTACTTACTAGGAGAAACTATAGCAGTTGGAATAAATGATGACAAGGCATGCAAAACACATAGGAAAAGAATTCCAGAAAGCAATAGTATGTTAGCTGTAGTAGAGGATTTTGATAACCAAGCAACCACCATAATATTTGATAAAGAACTCATATATATAGAATCATAGAATCATAGAATAATAGGACTGGAAGGGACCTCGAGAGGTCATCGAGTCCAGCCCCCCGCCCTCAAGGCAGGATCAAGCTCCGTCTACACCATCCCTGACAGATGTCTATCTAACCTGTTCTTAAATATCTCCAGAGAGGGAGATTCCACCACCTCCCTTGGCAATTTATTCCAATATTTGACCACCCTGACAGTTAGGAATTTTTTCCTAATGTCCAATCTAAACCTCCCCTGCTGCACTTTAAGCCCATTACTCCTTGTCCTGTTCTCAGAAACCAAGAGGAACAAATTTTCGCCTTCCTCCTTGTGACACCCTTTTAGATATTTGAAAACCGCTATGTTTTATATATAGAAATTAAAATTAGATAAACATAAGTGATCATAGATGAAATTGTTTTCATTTTGATATTTGTCTCTGCTAATTTTCTTTATCTTAATAGAGGTCATTTTCATAAACTATTAGGTGAGGGCATTTAAAATACATGTTTTCCCATGTATTATATAATATGCATATTTTATAAAATATATTTCCCCATGTATTTTAAATAGATGAGTACCCTAATTCAGATGCATTCATATTTTTCTTTTACTTCATTGCCTGCTATTCAAGTCATTTGGGCACAATCCTGCAGTGCAGAGCATGCTGGTCCCACTGGAGCAGAGCACTTAAACACTAGTCCTATTGATCTCAGTGGAACTATTGATATGCTTTATGTTGGGCACGTGCTTAAGTGCCTTGCTGTATTGGGGGTCATAAAAAAACCAACTGTTATAAAATAAGAAAGACTATTTTTTTAACAAGTGGGCTAATCTGCTTAAGACTCAACATTATTACATTCCATGAGATGTTAATATCATTTCAATATTAACACATTTTAGTCTCAATTGAAGCCATATTCACTTCTTGCGTGCATATGTGTATGTTATATCTGTGTGGATATCTTGTTTCCTGGAGTAATATTACCTGAAAATGTCACAAAAGACCTTTGATCTAGTTCTGACCTCGCTTACCTAGGCATTGCCCAGCGAAGACCCAGTTTCTCATGTAAGTTGATAAAGATGAAGGTTACCATGGAAACCTTAATTCCGATGTTTGTGGATTTTAAATCTCACACAACATGATAGACACATACAGATATAATGTGTGTGAGTTAAAATCCACAACCACAGAGTCAAGGTTTCCATAGCAACCACATCTTCACTGGGCCTTGGCTGAGTTACAGGCATGTAAGTGAGGACAGAACTGGGTCGAAGGTCTCATTACACTTGTAGGTAACATGACTGCTGGAAATATGATGTTATTTAGCTTAGATCCAGTGGTTTATCCTGTGGAGTTTCAAAGTAGTAATTTTTCTTCCCCCGTTTAGCTTCCCCACTAAGGGAAAATCTTGATTCCAGAGCACTGAATCAGAACACAATTACTTTGTGTGTTACATGCAAAGAGCTTGAACCTCTGGTCCAGCCACAATATGCTCGGTAGCAGACCCCACAGTCCTGAAGCTGGAAAGAGGGCAGATAAGCCTCCAGGGCAAAGCCCAGTACTGCTGCTCTAGTTTGTGTCTAGTTACAAATAGCCCCAAAGAGATATTCCATCAGCCATGGATCTCTAGAGAACAGTGGCACTCTGACCCACCCTTTTCATCTGCCACATCACCAGCATTTCCCCTATGTCAGCGGTAGGCTGCCTACCTACTCCCCTGTGCCTGGGAGTCCTCAGCAGGCTGGGTAAGCCCTTTGAACTGATGGGGCACAGGGGTACAATGGAGGGGAAAGCTCAATCCCAAGATTTCTAAATTTACATTCCAATTAAAAGCAATAGAAATACAATTATTTCACCATTACAGAAAGCAAGGATAGTTTGCTGAAAAGCATATTATAAAGGAACAAAACTAGTATATTTAAAAGAAGACTGTTATATAGGAAATATACATTGCTGTGAAATGTTTCTCACTTGTAAATTTTTATTACCTAAGGTGAAATACTAGCTCCATATCTACCAATGGCAAAACTCTCACTGACTTCATCATCAGTCTTCAAATTTCTCCTTAACCTGAGCTCTTTGAGCAATCCTTGCTACTCTTTTTACAATCAGAAATCCCCCTTTCTCTGCACTGTTGGTAACCTCCTTACCTGTCTTAAGGTGTGTTGTATTGTCTTGTGATTGTCTCCTGTCTGGGGGCAGGAACAGTGTCTCACTATGTTTGTACAATATCAGGAATACTTACAGTGCTATGTACATACATTTATTTATAATTATGAACACCAAGAATAATATTACATTAATGCCTTTGTTAGGAGAGACCTCTAAAGATTATCTAAGATTCCAACTGTAGTGAGTAATCAATATTTTTCCAGCTTCTCACCAACTAAAAAATAAATGGTCCTTTTAGCAATATAGCTGTTTAATCATAACCAAGCAGTGCTATAGAGTTTAAAGTACTTATGTTTACCCTGGATAGTCCATGTTGCAAGTCTTGACTTCGTTACTTCATATACAATTTTTGTAGGAGGGCACTTACTAGATAAAAGGCTCAAACTGAACATACATCAAATACCTTCTGAGATATGAAGCTTGCAACAATGCTGTCTGGGGGGACAGAGGACACAGTTGTATGTTAATTGTGCTCACCCAGATGCTGGTATATTTCTAGCTAAATTCTTCCCTGAAACTTGAGGCCAGAAACCCTGGTCCTAAGACACTGGTGTAAGGCTCCAATAACTCTTATATGCTTATATTCTTTGTTCCCCTAGGAGCTCTGGAATGCAGAGGCCATGACTTGGCCATCATTCTAAAGGAACCCTTAGCTCTTCCTGCCCAAAGACAGGGCCAGCTGGGGCCCTTTGGCTTTTACAAGCAAAACTCCCCTTTGGGTTCAGGTTTGCAAGCCAAGGCCGAACCTGCTGAACCAGGCAGCCTTTCACACTAAATGGAGAAGAGGTTTGGTGAAAGTTCAATTGTTTGCATTAAAAGGAAAGGAAAAGGGTGGGGTTCCTGTCCAAAAATCCCCCCCCCCATGTGCATGACTATTGCACCGAGCCCAGCATGCATCCTGTAAGAGGGGGAGTGGGTCAGGAGCGGTCTCGTTCACACCAACTGAAGCTCATCACCACACCGAGTTAAAGAGAGTGAAATGGCTAACGTACACACACCCCGCTCCATACCGGAGAAGAGTCTCCCAGCTGAGGCTTATGCTCTGCAAGGACCAAGCTGAAACTGACCGCCCCCACGGCCACGCTGGAGACCCCCAGCCCTATCTCCAACACGGAGAGCACCAAGAGGCTCCCAATGATGTGGCTGCTGGTGCACATCCTCCCTGGGTCATCGTTCCTTCCAGCTCAGCCAGGAAAACAAACCATCCGCCTTCCTCCCTCGGGCTCCCCCGAACTTTTCTTCCTCCTCCTTCAGAGGCAAAGCGTCAGATCCGCAGCCGGGGGGCCGGGCATTCCCGAGGCCAGGGCGCCTCTCCTCAGCCAGCGGACAGGAGACCTCCTCTCCGCAGCCAGGCGGCCCCGCACACAGGGATACTCCGATGGCTGGAGCCCGACAAGTCGCAGCCCGCCGCCGCCGC